GGACCTAAGATAATAGTGGCAGTCATTTACAACCCCCCCCCCCCTAAATGACAGAAGACCTAGACAGGAGTTTGATAGGAACAACATGGCAACCATTAATATAATAGAGAGAGCAGCTTCAACTGCCTGCAGGAATGGCTCAAGACTCTTAATTATGGGCGATTTCAACCATGGAAAGATAGACTGGGAGAATGGGGACCCACATGGAGGTGCAGATACGTGGAGAGCTAAACTCTTGGAAGTGGCAACAAGGAATTTTCTGAGCCAACATGTCAAGGAACCCACAAGAGTGAGAGGTAATGATGAACCAGCTAGACTCGACTTGATATTCACCCTGAATGAGTCAGAAATAAGGGAAGTCAAAGTTGAAGCCCCCATAGGAATGAGTGACCACAGTGTACTGACCTTTGAGTACTTGGTGGAGGTAGGGATAACCGATCCAAGGATGGGAGCGAAGGGAAAAAGACTGAATTACCGAAGAGGAAAATATGACGAGATGAAGAACTTCCTCAGGGGAATACCATGGGAAACAGAACTTAAAGACAAGAATGTGCAGGTCATGATGGATTTTGTCACCCAGAAGTGCCAGGAAGCTGCAGACAGGTTTATCCCCGTCCAAAAGGAGAAAAATGAAAAACAACAGAAAAACCCATGGTTCAACCAGGAATGCAAGGTAGCGAAGCAACTGAGTAAAAGAACATGGAGAAACTACAGAAATAACAGATCACCAGAGAGCAGGGAGAGATACCAGAGGGCCAGAAATGAGTACCTCAGTGTGAGGAGGGAAGCAGAGAGACAGTTTGAAAATGACATCGCGAGTAAAGCCAAGACCCAACCAAAGCTGCTCCACAGCCACATCAGGAGGAAAACAGCAGTGAAGGAACAAGTGATGAAGCTGAGAAAAAGGGAGATCAGATACACAGAGAATGACAAGGTGTGTGAAGAACTCAACAAGAGATTCCAGGTCTTCACAATAGAACAAGGAGAAGCCCCTGCACTAAATGAGGAGGCGGCAAACCAAGCAACCTAGGAGGAATTTGACCTCACCAGTGATGAGGTCAAAAGGTGTCTGCTGGAGCTGGATGTGACAAAGGCTGTTGGGCCTGACAGAATCTCACCATGGATACTAAAGGAAGGTGCAGAAGCACTAAGTGTGCCACTCTCTATGGTGTATAACAGGTCACTGGAAACAGGAGACTTACCAGAAAGTTGGAAGACAGCCAACGTGGTCCCAATATACAAAAAGGGTGACAGGCAAGAGGCACTGAACTACAGGCCAGTTTCCTTAACTTGTATACCATGCAAGGTGATGGAGAAGATCGTGAGGAAAAGGCTCGTAGAGCATCTGGAGGGAAATAACTTTGTAATGCACCACCACCATGGGTTCAGGGATGGTAAATCGTGCCTCACGGGTTTAATAGAATTTTATGACCAGGCAACAAAAATTAGGCAGGAAAGAGAAAGGTGGGCCGACTGCATTTTCCTGGATTGCCAGAAAGCCTTTGACAAAGTACCCCATAAAAGGCTGTTAAAAAAGTTGGAGCAACAGGCAGGAGTAAAAGGGAAGGTGCTCCAGTGGATAAGGGAGTACTTAAGCAACAGGAAACAGTGAGTAACGGTGAGGGGGGAGACATCAGAGTGGCGAGATGTCACCAGCGGAGTCCCACAGGGCTCAGTACTTGGACCCATCCTGTTTCTAATATATGTAAACGATCTTCCGGAGGGTAGAGACTCATTCCTCTCAATGTTTGCTGATGATGCAAAAATTATGAGAAGAATCAAGACGGATGAAGATAGAGACTACAGGATGACCTGGATACTCTGGAGGAATGGTCTAGAAAATGGCTGCTAAAGTTCATCTCAGGAAAGTGTAAGGTGATGAAATTAGGCGAAGGGAGCAGGAGGCTGAACACAAGGTATCATCTGGGAGGTGAAATCCTGCAAGAGTCAAATAGAGAGAAAGATCTGGGGGTTGATATCACACCGAACCTGTCCCCAGAGGCCCACATCAAAAGAATATCATCAGCGGCATATGCTAGACTGGCCAACATAAGAACTGCCTTTAGAAACTTGTGTAAGGAATCTTTCAGAACCCTATATACCACTTATGTAAGACCAATCCTGGAGTATGCAGCTCCAGCCTGGAGTCCATACCTAGTTAAACACAAGACAAAGTTAGAGAAGGTTCAGCGGTATGCCACCAGGCTCGTCCCGGAACTGAGAGGAATGAGCTAAGAGGAAAGGCTAAAGGAGCTGAACCTCACATCCCTGGAAAACAGAAGTTTTTTTTTTTTTATTATTATTATTATTTTCTACCACAGACGTGGCCACACATTTACATTGCTAACCAGCATATATACATTTTCTTCTGTCCTCCGTGGACAGGGTTAGAGAAGTGTTAAACATATAGTTCAAGGGTTTATTGAACACTCAACCACAGAAGGTGATTCGGTGCTTTTAAAATGCTAAGCTAACCTACATACGTAAATACATAGATACACAGATTTACGTATGCCCTACATAAAGTGTTGAGTAAGGGGAGACATGATAACCACCTACAAAATTCTCAGGGGAATTGACAGGGTGGACAAAGACAAACTCTTCAGCACGGGTGGGACACGAACAAGGGGATACAGGTGGAAACTTAGTACCCAGATGAGCCACAGAGACGTTAGAAAGAATTTTTTCAGTGTCAGAGTAGTTAATAAATGGAATGCACTAGGAAGTGATGTGGTGGAGGCTGACTCCATACACAGTTTCAAATGTAGATATGATAGAGCCCAGTAGGCTCAGGAATCTGTACACCAGTTGATTGACAGTTGAGAGGCGGGACCAAAGAGCCAAAGCTCAACCCCCGCAAGCACAATTAGTTGAGTACACACATCAGCCTGGTTTAGCTCTGGGGAGCCAAAGGGACTCTCCACAGAAACACAATTTCATACATCATATTACCTCATTTCCCACTTTCATGGGTGGAAGGCATCAATCTGAAGATGCCTCCAAGTAATATGCAGTACTGTATCCTGCAAATGAAGACTATAACTTAATAAAATGGTTTAAATAATAATGGATCACTAAATTTCATGAGAATCTGGTAAAGTACTTGTGCTCTCAAATTTACAATCCAGCAATCACCACAGTTATATCAACTATGGTTTATCAAAGCAAATGGCACATGATTAACCCATGTTAATTATGTTACACCCTATTAACCTATTAATATGACAACCCTGAGGGGCACATAAAAATTAACCTCATTCCCTATTTTATTTTTCTTATACCCTGTTCAGTATAGTTAAAATCCCTTCTTCAATCATATGGGGGGGGGAAGAGAATTAACTTACTTTGACAGGCGCTTGACAGCTGAGCGGACAGCACATCCGATTCGTAATCCTGAGGTTCCGGGTTCGATCCTCGGTGGAGGCGGAGACAAATGGGCAAAATGTTTCTTTTGCCCTGATGCCCCTGTTACCTAGCAGTAAATAGGTACCTGGGAGTTAGACAGCTGCTACGCTGCTTCCTGGGGGTGTGTAACAAAAAGGAGGCCTGGTCGAGGACATGACCGCGGGGACGCTAAGCCATGAAATCATCTCAAGATAACTGTAGTGAACCATATAAGTTGCAGTCTGATGCCATGGACACATTCTCTCCTGTGCAGTAGACTCACGAAGAGGGTTGGCCAGTTGATTCAAGACCCGGAATACGACTCTCAAAATCTTTTAACAACCAGGCTCCCATTCGCTGCTAGGTGAACTGAGGCTACAGTTAAGGATTGGCGCCCAGTCAATCCTCCCCGGCCAGGATATGAACCCAGCCCAAAGCGCTTGCAAGGGGCCAGTTGAGTGTTTTACCAATGCGCCACGGGGATTGCTTGATATGGACATAGACAATACTGTCTGACTTCTTACCCTGGCTCATCTAAAGCCTTACACTAGTTTTCTCTGGAACATGACTTGAACATTGGTTTACAACCACTACCCAATTACTTCTTGGTGAATTGGAGCATTTTAGGATTGGTGCCATCTACCCCCTATGGGCCAGGAATTGAACCAAAAATAAATTAATAGGGACGTGCGACAAGAATACACTACCACTATGATTTTTAATAACTTCCATATTTAGTTTTCCATTGCTTTAACAAAATATATAGAGGACAAAAATCAAATAGTACTGTATTACTTCAATATTTTATTCACTAACTTTAAAAAATTCCTTATCCAGATATAACACATGTGGAAAAATATTTGGTCCAAAAAACCCTCAGATCTTATTATAAAGTTCACAAATACTCTATATAAATATATAAAGACCATTTTGCAATTGACACTACACAAATATAGGCTTTAAAATATTGTTTCTCTGCACTGTGTGCATGCAAGTGGAAAAGCATGATATACTCTTTCCAGTCGGAAACAGTACCTGGCTAATTTAGACAATCAAAACCCAACTTACAACACAGCCTAACTTTATTTTTTACATTGAAGAGCAATGCAACACACGACTGTTGACTCCTGTTAGCAGGCTGAGAGCTTTCCCTTTTCATAGCTCATGATAAGCCTTTCCCACTACTGTTCCCAACAATACAATCCCCCAAATCGTTTAACAACCAACCAGGTACCAATTTCCTGCTGGGTAAATAGAGGCACACAGTTTTGGATTGCCACCCCAGTCAATCTGATCTTGATGAAATTTTCACAATGCACAGCATAACATATGTTACAATTAACAATGATTTCTCTTAACACAATTTAATTTCTGCTAATGATAAAAACATACCTGTATTTGATCTTTCCAATAATACCAAACAATTGACTTTTGTAATAATATTTATTCAAGATACTGGTTTAACATTTTGGCCTATAAACTAAATAGTAAATGCAATTACCTCAGTGTAGTTACAGGATGAGAGCTACGCTCATGGTGTTCCGTCTCCTAAATGTACAATCATTATTTTAATGTTTCCTCCTGTCTAAAAATAAAATTTGTTGTGTTTGTGACAAAAAAAAAAAAAAAAAAGGGCTTAAAAGAATATCCGTTTTCAAATACTTGTTCCTCTTGTGATTCTTATCACCTTCAGCCACAAAGTATTTCTAAGGCATTTACAAGTAAAGCTGCACACTGACATGGAAGCTCTTAACTGGAAGCTCAAATGTGGAAGCTTTAGCTTTGCACTGCTTCATACCTTTGGTAAATTTGTAAGATAAAAGAACCATGTGTTTGATAGTGACTAGTATCACTCATGTTTTTTGCACATTTCTGTCTGCTTACAATTATTTGTACAATATTTACATATAATAAATATATCTGAAGTATTAAAGAGTACATAAAAACTGACTTGCCATCACACAATTCTCGCAGCCTCATCGATGCTTCCCTAGTCTAGCTGCTTCCTGCCGGTGGAGCCAAATCTCAAAGTGCTGAAGACCATCTGTGGCAAATGAGACCACAGTGAAGAGAATGGTGTGAGCCAGACACCACAACTGCATTACCCACCAGGTACACAGTAGGTATACCATACCTGTGGCAAAGGCAGTATTAAGTGATGAGAGAATTGCACAAGCAGGTGAAATGTGTTAAACTGATTTACCAGGCCTGATGCATATTAAGCAGCCTACTTAATTTAGGAAAAGGAAATGATTTCTCATGCTGGCAATTCTGGGACAATTTGGCATTGTTCCTTTACACTTTTCACCCCCTATGCCCCCAAAAGAAAGTTGGAGCCTGAATGTAAAATGACTGTCAGACTGTATTCTAGGGCAAATTTGGCACTGAATAATGAAACATGTTCCAGTGCTTGGCTCTTTGCCTAAATACCTTCCTCCTACTCCATGCAAATATATATATATATTTGCTATGCTAATACCCTTCACTCCCCCAACACAAAAAATAATATATTAGCCACACTAAGAAACAGTACATTGACAAGGGTTCAAAACCTTTAGGATAACAACCATTAATATTATGTAAAATGCAAGTACAGTACAGTATATTTACTATTCTGTAATAGACAATAAATTTTACAATATGTGTAAACTTGTAATGTGTACATAACTACATTCAATCTTAAAAAATTCATACTAAGCCTTCTTCGCAAACAAGGACAGGCTCTATTTTATATTTTGCTTTAGACAAACACTTTTGTATTTTCACTCCTACAAATATTCATAGCAGGAAAATGTCAGGATCTGCATATGCAAAGGACATCTGAAAAAGCAGTGGCACATACCAATAGTAAGTGGTGTCCAGAAGAGGAAGGCGAGGTAGGAAGCATTCATAGGTGGGTGAGGGGAATCCGCTGTGCTAGCTGGGAAGTAGCCCTGTTGAAGAGTAGTTTGCAATAGCTTGTCCTTCTCCTCCCACACCCCACCGAGCCAAATGCGAAGCCCCTCCTCTGTCTGCGGCAGGCTTCTGGCTTGATATCTGCAGGCCAGGGGAAGACAATTTCTGTAATGTTGGTGTGATGACTAGGCTTTTTTAAACTAGGGGAAAAATGTCAAAGATTACCACCTAATTTCTTATTAGATCACAGTTATAACAACCCAGACTTACTAGAATATATTAGAGTTCTTAAGTAATAATGTTCAACACTGTCAATGCTGATGTCACACAAACCAAGATCAACATCTGTCGACTTTGAACAATGTTAAACTAATCAGAGAAATTAAGTTGGAAGAACATACTGTATATAACATGCAACCTTCAAAACTTCAACGCCCTCTAAAAAAAAATTTTTTTTTAATACTTCAGCACACTAAACTAAGCATTTCCCAAATGCTGTACAAATTACACACAATATGTCCCAGATTATGTCCTCCTCCTCCTCCCACATTCCACTGGCATGGATCCCACACCAGGTGAAATGTAAGAAAACCAAGGCCAAGATTTGCTGCGAGATTGTTACCAAATATTACAAATCAGAGCTATGAGGATAAGCTAAAACTCCTGCAACTAAACACTGGAGGAAACAAGAACCAGAGGAGATATGATGCGAAAACACCAAGATACACAAAGCAGATCAAGGCATACTTCAGTCACAGTAAAGACAAACAGAACACGAGACATTAGGTGGATCTGGAAATAGAGGAGCCACAGAGATATGGAAATAGAGATCAAGTGTACAAGTGGTGAACAAGTGACGTGGATAGAAGAAAATGCCATCGAGGCACATACAGACGATAATTTCAACACGAGATATAACCAAATAATATAAACAACAAAAGTAAAGCTACACCAAATATATTGTGATTTGTCTATTCACTGCCCATAAAAATTATTAGGAACAAACCCAAACAATTTGCTCCAGCTCTATCATCACACTAATTTCCACTGTAAAAGCACTTTAACCACTATGGAAGACAAATTCACGTGCTGATCATCATTATAACAGAATTAATATGCATGTGGTAAAAAATAAACTAAAACAGCCTTAGTTAATACATAACAGGACTAGTGGTTCTGTGGCCACCAACTCACCTTTTAATGTGAAAGTGTACCTCCTCTGGCATAAGGCCCTTAGCCAAGTCGAGCTCGGTGAGGGGCAACGTTTTCGGGTATGCTACAGTGACATCGTATACCGCATTCAGCTGCTTGCCTGCGAGAGGGAAATTTAGTTCAACCAGTTACTGAAGTTATCTTGGGTCATCACTTTCTTATAGTTCACAATCACTTTTGTTATTCTGGATCTTTAGGTCTCAAAGTAATTTCAGATCACGGGCAGTAAATAAGGAGAGTCAAGTGAGGAGCCAGTAAGAAAAGAAGGTAATTCTAGAAGGGAAGGACTAAGGTGGGGAGTTCCCCACCTTCAGCCACGTTATTGCGACTCATTGCCTGCAGTGTGAATTGTGACCAGAGGTGGGACTAGGACTGAGGATGGAGTGCCTTGGGTGACACACCAAAAGGCTTAGAGACCAGTAAGCAACTAGGTGAGGCGAGTAGGTGAGTATAGCTGTTTTGGAGAAAGTTTGACACCAAGCAACAAAATTCATTCCAGAAATAAGTCAACTCTCATATCAGGAATTGTTGAGGGCCACAGCACTAACAACAATGCAAACCAGACATGACAGAGCTGACCTGATCAAAACTTTTAAAAACACTGAACAATTTGGAAAAATGTTAATTTAAACAATTTCTTCAAAAGGTCAGACATAACACAAAGGAGCAACAGTTACAACTCAACAACCTACAATGTAGGACTGAAAACAGCAGATCCTTTTCATCCACAGGGGGCCTGACAGCTGAGTGAAAAGTGCTTGGGATTCGTATTCAAATCAAATCAATTCAAATATTTATTCAGGTAAAGTACATACATACAAGCTGAGATACAAAACGTTGATAGATTTATAGGTAGAACTAGTACATACAATGCCTAAAGCCACTATTACGCAAAGCGTTTCAGGCAGGAAAAACACTTAGACTAAAACTTAATACTAATTGACATTAAAGTATAAATTGTGTTGAGGAAATAAAAAAAAATAATAAAAAATAATAAAAAATAAAAAAGGGGAGAGGAACATGGCAGAAAAAATAGCAAAAATACAATGTGGTCAACAAACAGCAGCATTGTTTAAAATAGTAGACATGGGTTGACATTTTGGGGGGGTGAGGTAGGTTACATGGAGTTAATTAGATAGTACTTAGTTTTTATCTTAAACTGGTTGGGAGAGGTACAGTCTTTAACATGATTGAGAAGGTCATTCCACATTCTGGGTCCCTTGATTTGTAAAACATTTCTAGTTCGATTAAGCTGTACTCTTGGAATATCAAATAGGTATTTCTTCCTGATGTGGTGCTCATGGGATCAGTTACAACCTCCTAGGAAGCTTTTAAGGTCAGGATTGACATTACAGTTCAGAGTTTTATATATATAAAATATACATGAGAGGATGTGCAGTGACTTAATATCTAACATTCAGAGATTTGAGTAAGGCTACCGAGTGATGTCTGGGGCCACAGTTAGATATTGTCCTAATAGCAGCTTTGTGTTGAGTAATTAGAGGACGTAAATGATTTTGGGTAGTAGAACCCCAAGCACAAATACCATAGTTGAGATGAGGATAGATGAGAGAGTAATAGAATGTGTTTTTTGACACTTTTTTTATATATTTAGAATGTGTCCCTGGAAACTCAGCTTGTGGTCAATAACGCCAAGGAATTTGCCATTTACTTTGTTACAAATTTGGGTATTCTTTATCCTGAGATTTATTTGATTTAAGGATTTATTGCCAAACAAAATATAGAAAGTTTTCTCAATACAGGGTATTGAGGGTGATTTTGTTGGCAGTTAGCCAGAGATGTACTTTCTTTAGCTCAGTATTCACTGACATTTAGAGCATGGGGGTCAGGACTGGAGTAAATGAAGGTCGTGTCGTCAGCAAATACATTTAGTTTCAGATGTTGGGAGGCATTTGGAAGGTCATTAATGTAGATGAGAAAGAGGATAGGGACAAGTATGCTGCCTTGGGGAACACCAATGTTGATGGGTAGGGTGGGAGAAATTGAATTATTCACAGAAACATACTGGAGCCTGTCAGTAAAGTAAGACTTAAGGTATTGCAGGGAGTGACCTCTGACTCCATAATACTGTAATTTAAGGTTTTGGTGGTTGACAGTGTCAAAAGCCTTACGCACGTCTGCAAATAACCCAACAAGGCACTCATTTTTATCAAGAGCTGCATATATTAAGTTAAGAAATAACAAGAAATAACCCTCCTCCGCGAGGAAATTAGAAACTGCAAGGCAAGCCAAGACCAACTACAGCATGATTTAAATGATCTCCGTGAGGAAAGCAACCTTCTGAAAACTGATGAAGCCATTAAAAAACAGGAGGAAGCCCTCAACAAAATGACTGCATGTATCAGTACATTTTCAGCCCAGCGTTCTGTCTCCCAGGATGAACAAGACCAGCAAAAGCTGCTAGACTCTGTTATAGTGTCGTCCCAAGATATACCTGTGGAACATGATGGTGAAAACTGTGTCGAAATAGCTCTGGATCTCATAAAAGACAAATTGCAGCTCATTCTAAACAAATCTGACGTTATTGCTGCCTATAGAGTAGGCAAAAAGAATCCATCAAGTCAAAACCAACGGAAAATTCGCCTGAAGCTGTCTTCCCAGTTCACGAAATCCAATCTAGTCCGGACAGCTGTAGCCCAACGGACGGGATTATACATCAACGAGTGCTTGACTAGGAACAGACAGCACCTCCTCTACCGCCTGCGTCAAATCCGTCAAAAAAACCCAGATGCGATTCATCAGTGCTTCGTTAGAGATGGACTGATAAAGGTGAGAAAAACCGCAGAGGGCAAAATGTTCACTATTACTAAAGACGAGAACCTCAACGCTTTCCTCTTCCAATGTGGTTTGTCTCACCTTATTATCACTCCCAGTGAATTAACTTAATTAACCCCGTCAACTAGTGGGGCTAGGTTTCCTAAGTCTCATTGTTTCATTTTCTGACTTAATTTTTAACTTACTCTTAACTAGTCATTTACTGAAATTTTTTAATTGAGTGCATAAATAGTTCTTCAGGTCTTATTAATTATACAGTCATAACTGAACTATTTATAATTAATAATCATTAGCTTAAATTTTGCCTATGCTTATTATTCAACTTTTCTTTGATTTCATTTATTACCTAGGTTGCCTAGCCTCGCCATGCTCCCTTACTCCATTGTACCCCTGGCTTTGCCTGTATCTCAAATTGCAAATTGTTACTTACAGTGTACCTGAGAGTACTTGTAAGCAATCTACCTCATTTTTCATTTTTGCTCAATTTGTTTTTGTATTGCTTAGTCTTGTTTATATTTTTGTTTTGTATTTCTATATCTTGTGTTTTGTATAGTCATGTTTATATGTTTTTTCGTTAATCTCATTTATTACCTAGGTTGCCTAGCCTAGCCATACTCCCTTACTCCATTGTACCCCTGTAAGCCCCTTTTGAGTTTGCTTTGTTCTGTATTGTGTACATCTTTTTCCCTATTTTAGAGCTTATTTCTACCTTGTTATTTGCCTTTCTTCCCTTGTTTTTCCTGCAATCAGCTTTTTTATGCAGACAAGTATAGACCCTGAACTTAACCTCTTATCCACTATCTATGACAATTATCACTTTAATGATCTAAATTGCAGATATTTTGCAGCACATGATGTAAACAATGTATTAACTCATAATCACACTATCTCTGTAATCAATTTGAACGTTAGATCCCTAGGTAAACACTTCGATGATGTTAGTGCCTTGATTGAAGCTATTGACAACAAATTCTCTTTTATTATACTTACTGAAACATGGTTGAAAGAGGATACTACTCAGCTCTTTAACATGCCTAACTACTCAGCAATTCACAACTGTCGTCAAATTCAGAGAGGTGGTGGCACTGCTCTTTACTACCACCAAGAACTAACATGCTTAAAAGAAATTAGAACCAGAGACTGCTATGGGGAGTATATCTTCGCCAGCTTCAGAGTCAAGGGTGCCGAGTCTGTCCTGACTGTGGGTGCAGTTTATAGAATTCCTAACACTGATGTGTCCGAATTCAACTCAAACCTTAGAAATCTAATACTTGATAACAGACTGAATAAAAACCACCTAATTATCGCAGGGGACTTTAATATTGACCTCTGCGAGCCTGAACACCCCACTGCTGTTAGCTTCCTCAACTGTATGAATTCCTGCTTCCTCATACCCTTAATCACTAGACCTACTAGAATCACTGATAGCACTGCCACGACGGTCGATCACATCTGGACAAACATAACCTCTCCGCTTACTTCAGGTATAATCACCGATAGCACTACAGATCATTACCCCACATTTCTCTTAACTAACATTAGCAAACCACCTCTTGAGTCAAGAGTGATACGTTTTAGACTGCACAATGAAACTGCTATAGACAATTTTATAACTGCTGCTGATAATGTCAACTGGGAGTCCGAGTTAGGTAACATAGTGGACATCAACCTTGCAGTACAATCTTTTCTTCAAAAAACTCTTAGCCTTTATAATACCCACTGTCCTATGCTTACAAAACAAGTCACAACCAAAAGGCTTAACAATCCCTGGCTTACAAAGGGAATACTTAAATCTATTAATAAAAAACATGACCTTGAGAAGAAGTATAGGTTAGGAATTGTCTCCAAAGAATTCTCAAAGAATTACTCATTATTGCTGTCTAAGATAATTAGACGAGCCAAAACTAAATACTACGAAGATAAATTTACCCAAATAAAGAGCAACATTAAACAAACTTGGAGAACAATTTCTCAAATATTGGGATCAAAGAAGTCTTTAAATAACAAACAGACTCTCCTGTCTAATAACGATGGTCAGCTTTCAGCCTCTGATTCTGCTACTGAGTTCAATAGGTTCTTCTCTTCCATTGGTTCATCCCTTGCAAATGATATTCCATCTTCCAGTACAGACATTAATGACTATCTTTCAGGTAACTATCCACAGTCTCTGTACCTAAAGCCTATTAATTCCACTGACGTCAATGAGATAATCCTTTCCCTTAAAACCAAGTCTGGTGCCCTTGAGGAGATACCAACTTTAATTTACAAAAAAGCCTCCAGATCTTTAGCCCCTGCTATTGCTTTGCTCTTCAACAAGTCACTTGAACTCCAAACCTTCCCAGATATTCTAAAAAAAGCGAGAGTAACGCCTGTCCACAAATGTGGTAATCTCACAGATGTTAACAACTACAGACCTATATCTATCCTGCCAAACTTGTCAAAAATTTTTGAAAAACTAATCTATAAGCAGCTTTACTCATATCTAGCCAAACTCAATATACTTAGCCCTTGCCAATATGGCTTCAGACCCAAAAAAAGCACTAACGATGCACTTATTAGTATGCTTAACTCGATTCATACAGCTCTTGATAAAAATGAGTTCTCTGTTGGGTTGTTTGTGGACCTGCGTAAAGCTTTTGACACTGTCAACCACCAAAACCTTCTTCTTAAATTACATCATTATGGAGTCAGAGGACACTCCCTACAATACCTCAAATCCTACCTTACTGACAGGCTCCAATATGTTTCTGTGAATAATACAATTTCTCCCACCCTACCCATCAACATTGGTGTTCCCCAGGGCAGCATACTTGGCCCTCTCCTCTTTCTCATCTACATTAATGACCTTCCAAATGCCTCCCAACACCTCAAACCAATTCTATTTGCTGACGACACAACCTTCATTTACTCCAGTCCTGATCCCCTTGCTCTAAATGCCACAGTAAATACTGAGCTAAATAAAGTCCATCTGTGGCTAACTGCCAACAAACTCACCCTTAACATTGACAAAACCTTTTATATTCTGTTTGGCAATAAATCCTCTAATCAAATAAATCTCAAAATAAACAATACCCAAATTTGTAACAAATTAGATGGCAAATTCCTTGGCATTCTCATTGACCACAAGCTTAATTTCCAGGGACACATTCTAAACATATCAAAAAAAGTTTCAAAAACTGTGGGCATTCTTTCTAAGATCAGATATTATGTACCACGCCCTGCCCTGGTGACTCTCTATTACTACCTAATCTATCCATATCTCAACTATGGTATTTGTGCTTGGGGCTCTACTACCCAAAATCACTTACGTCCTCTAATTACTCAACACAAAGCTGCTATTAGGACAATATCCAATTCTGGCCCCAGACACCACTCGGTACCCCTACTTAAATCTCTGAATATGTTAGACATTAAGTCACTGCACATTCTCTCATGTGTATTATACATATATAAAACGCTAAACTATAATGCCAATCCTGATCTCAAAAGCTTCATAGAAGGTTGTATCAGAGCATCACACCAGAAATAAATACAGTTTTGATATTCCTAGAGTACGACTTAATCAAACTAGAAATGCTCTACAAATCAAGGGGCCCAGAATGTGGAATGACCTTCCCAACCATGTTAAAGACTGTACCTCTCTCAACCAGTTTAAGTTAAAAGCGAAGCTATACCTAATAAATTCCCTGTAACCTACCTTACCCTTCTATTGTCAACCAATGTCTGTTTTTTTCTTTAAAGAGCGCTGTTTGTCGACATATTTGTATTTGTGCTGCTTTTTCATCTATGTTTTCATTCTACTCATTATGCTCAATTAGTATTAAGCTTGTCATTTAAGTTTATCATGCCCGAAATGCTTTGCGTAATAGTGGCTTTAGGCATTGTATGTACTAGCTATACCTATAAGTTAAACATTCCTTGTAAATATTTATTGTATGTATGTACCTTACCTAAATAAAATTGTATTGTATTGTATTGTATTGTATTGTATTGTATTGTGTTGTTAATCATACTAATAAGTGCATCGTTAGTGCTTTTTTGGGTCTGAAGCCTTATTGACAAGAGCTAAGTATATTGAGTTTGGCTAGATAAGAATAAAGCTGCTTGTAGATTTGTTTTTCAAATATTTTTGACAAGTTTGGCAAAATTGATATAGGTCTGAAGTAGTTGACATCAGTGGAATCACCACATTTGTGGACAGGGGTTACTCTCGCTTTTTTTAGAATATCTGGAAAGGTTTGGAGTTTAAGTGACTTATTGAAGAGCAATGCAATGGCAGGAGCTAAAGATCTGGAGGCTTTTTTGTAAATTATAGTTGGTATCTCCTAAGGTTCTGAGTTCAATCCCTGGTGGAGGCGGCAACAAATGGGCAGATTTTCTTTCACCCTGATGCGCCTGTTCACCTAGCAGAAAATAGGTACCTGCAAGTTAGACATTTGCTACGGGCTGCTTCCTGGGAATGTGTAACAAAAAGGAGGCCTGGTCGAGGACTGGACCGTGGGGACGCTAAGCCCCGTAATCATCTCAAGATAACCACAGGGTTATATACCCATGGAACCACCTACTTGTCGAAGCTGTAAATGCCAAAACTCTGTTGAACTTCAAATCCAGATTGAAAAAATCTTTAGGACAAATGGGGACATTTGATAAGCTACTGGCTTCCTGTCCTCAACAAAGCCACTACAGTGTTAGTGGCCCTTAGGTAAATTCAGGTAAATATACAGATAGTAACATGCCGTCATAAATTACAATATGGAGCTCTTTCTCTAGCATGGCTATTTGCTTCTGTCACTCCCAAAAACATTTTAATGAAAATCTATTACATTTTTTTAATTCAAGCTAAAAATATCATTTAAAGGATTTTGTAATTGGGATTTAGAGTGAGCAAGACAGTAATGTTATTTTGATGCAAGGTAACTACTGTATATCTTGAAGGCATGCAGGTATAGGACCCGTAAAAATTGGTGAATATCTGTAGAAATAAAGAAAACATGTATAAAGGATGTTATCCACTGGGAGATCAAAGATTGCCACTTTATGAGCCAGACGAGCCTTACTGTTGCGAAGTTTGTTGACGAGGTAGGTAAAGCCTGTGGTTCGGGGATGGAGGACATGGGTCAGGCATGGCAGCCCAGCCTTTCGTGCATATTCCTCACTCTTCTTTTGTGTCTCCGGCGTTAGGTTGGTTCCCTCAGGAAACAGCAGCACCTGTAACACAGCAGTAGCTCCTTCAAAACATGTACACACCTAATTTACTGTGATTAGCTATTAAGCTCACATTAATGTAAACTTATCCACATTATAGTAAAAATATTAAAGACATGACACATTTTTTTCCCTTTAACATCAAAATAGACTTGAACTTTTGAGCAAAACTATGATTAGTGTTTAGTAACATTTCCCATGTATTAAAAAAAATAAAAAAAAAATAAAAACTTTGTTCATTCTTAAATCGAGAGATACCTAAATCAACACCCTTCCTTGCATGGTTGAATGACAATGGAAATGCATTCCTCAACTTGGGTGCATGTACTGATGCTCTGAATCTTTATTGTTATTTATAAATATATCGTGCTCACTCTCGTCTTTCCTCATCCTATCATTATTTAATTCTCACTTAATCATATACAGTACTCGGCATTCTTTCATGCATACATTCTGAAACTTCCCCCTCTCCAATCCTCAACACACCACAAGTTTACCTGGAACGTGTGGTCAATGTCCCTGAAATAGTCGAGGACATTGTTCATAAGTCTCTGGTCATCCTCCCACCGACGCCTGATGTACAGGAAGCACGACATCTGCATGACCCAACCTGGAGCAAAGACACCTTAATAGTGACTAATACCATACTTAAAACAAAAACAAAAATCCTACTATAAAGAGTATGTTATCTGGGTAAAAGTGATCATTCATTACTAATTTGATTTAAGGGGATGATATTTATGCTATTATTAATCTAATTGACAATCTACTCAGCCTTTGATAAACTAATTTTCAATTGGACTCTTTCAAAGTACAGTATATACAGTATATAACAAAAAATAAGAATAATCAATGAAACCTTTGACATAAAGGAAAAGAAAGAGAGGGCTAACAACACTCCAAACCAGACATAAAAGGGTTAATCTCATAGAAACTTTAAAAAAAAAAACTTAACCATTTGGAGGACATTGTTCAAGACAACTATAAATGTCATAAAATGTATGAATATATCTTTAACAATTATTTAGTTATATTAAACTTTTGGATTTTTATCAAATCATCATGTGATGCATACTGCCAGGGATAATGACAGCAGAGCCTAAGCCTAGCAGCCTGCTACCCTAACTGAATGAACCATAGATATAACTCGAGGTCTGAAATCTATTGGATACTATCATATCTACTTTTAAACCTGTGTATGAATCCCTAGATCCCTATAAAACAAAACTCCCAGAGCCCTATCACACAAACACCCCTGGAGCCCAATCAGGTACACCCCTAGAGCTCAATCAGGTACACCCCTTGAGCCCAATCAGGTACACACCTGGAGCCCAATCAGGTACACACCTGGAGCCCAATTTGGTACACCCCTGGAGCCCAATCATGTAGACCCCTGGAGCCCAATCAGGTACACCCCTAGAGCTCAATCAGGTACACCCCTTGAGCCCAATCAGGTACACACCTGGAGCCCAATCAGGTACACACCTGGAGCCCAATCTGGTACACCCCTGGAGCCCAATCATGTAGACCCCTGGAACCCAATCAGGTACACCCCTGGAGCCCAATCAGGTACACCCCTCGAGCCCAATCGGGTACACCTCTGGAGCCCTACCAAGCACACGTGCATAATATGTACCCGGAGCCCGGATTGAGAGATTTAGTGATCATGATCTACAAATATATACATGTCACGTGTGAATGGATTTGTGTACACTCGCATAGATCCGCTGGCAAAGCAGAGCGTCAGAACTTACTTCGACTCAGTGCTTCACCTTTCGAACTATGAGTAGTTTAATGCAAGGACCATACTTCCACCGCCACGCTTGATAACGGGGTACAGTATAGTCTTTACTCTCAAAATCTCTCCCTTGACCGACCAAAGGTTCCGTGCCTCGAAGACGCAGCATCACCTTCGCTTACATCCTTCAGACCCAACTGAAGACGTCACGTGTGACGTGTAAACGTTCAATCCCTGAGCCCATTATGTGGCTCTGTAACCCCCTTTCCACTACCGTATGCGGTGCATAATAATTGAACTATAAATGAACTTTAGTTCAATAATTGAACTAAACGTCCTCCTAAGATTTCTCATTGTCAAAAACACTGGCGTACTAAAGTGCCCTTATTCTAACCTACCAGAGGACCCAAAACAGAAAACGGGATAGTATGTCTAGTTTCGCGAGCCGCTACCATTTTCTATTACGATAATTTTTGCCCTTGGGTAGAGTATACGTCGAAAAGCGACGTTCTATTAGGAGGACGGGATGGATTGGGAGGAGGAGGCAATGGAAAGAGTGAAAGATGTGTGTACTCACCTATTGCGCTTGTAGGGGTTGAGCTTCGGCTCTTTGGTCCAGCATCTCAACTGTCAATTTACTGGTGTACACGTTCCTGAGCGTATTGAACTCCATCATATTTACATTTGAAACTATGTATGGAGTCAGCCTATGGAAACTTTGTATGGAGTATGCACTCAGCCAGTGAAAGTGAGAGTGTATTCACCTAGTTGTGCTTGCAGGGGTTGAGCTCTGCTCTTTCGGCCCACCTCTCAACTGTCAATCAATCAATTTTTTTCACACACACACACACACACACGAAACAGCCCGTAACAGCTGTCTAATTCCCAGGTACCTATATACTGCTAGGTTACAGGGGCATCAGGGACAAAGAAACTTTGCCCATCTGTTTTCTGCCAACGCCGGGGATCGAACCCGGACCCAAGGGTTACGAGTACCAAGCACTGTTCACTCAGCCACAGGCACCCACACAAGTATGTGTGAGTGTGTGTGTGTGTAATTACCTAAGTGTAATTACCTAAGTGTAGTTACAGGATGAGAGCTACGCTCGTGGTGTCCCGTCTTCCCAGCACTCTTTGTCATATAACGCTTTGAAACTACTGACGGTCTTGGCCTCCACCACCTTCTCACTTAACTTGTTCCAACCGTCTACCACTCTATTTGCGAAGGTGAATTTTCTTATATTTCTTCGGCATCTGTGTTTAGCTAGTTTAAATCTATGACCTCTTGTTCTTGAAGTGCCAGGTCTCAGGAAATCTTCCCTGTCGATTTTATCAATTCCTGTTACTATTTTGTATGTAGTGATCATATCACCTCTTTTTCTTCTGTCTTCTAGTTTTGGCATGTTTAATGCTTCTAACCTCTCCTCGTAGCTCTTACCCTTCAGTTCTGGGAGCCACTTAGTAGCATGTCTTTGCACCTTTTCCAGTTTGTTGATGTGCTTCTTAAGATATGGGCACCACACAACAACTGCATATTCTAGCTTTGGCCTAACAAAAGTCATGAACAATTTCTTTAGTATATCGCCATCCATGTATTTAAATGCAATTCTGAAGTTAGAAAGCATAGCATAGGCTCCTTGCACAATATTCTTTATGTGGTCCTCAGGTGATAGTTTTCTATCTAGAACCACCCCTAGATCTCTTTCTTTATCAGAATTCTTTAAAGATTTCTCACATAATATATAGGTTGTGTGGGGTCTATGTTCTCCTATTCCACATTCCATAACATGACATTTATTAACATTAAATTCCATTTGCCAAGTGGTGCTCCATCTACTTATTTTGTCCAGGTCTTCTTGAAGGGCATGACAATCATCTAAATTTCTTATCCTTCCTATTATCTTAGCATCATCAGCAAACATGTTCATATAATTCTGTATACCAACTGGTAGATCATTTATGTACACAATAAACATCACTGGTGCAAGAACTGAACCCTGTGGTACTCCACTTGTGACATTTCTCCATTCAGATACATTGCCTCTGATTACTGCCCTCATTTTTCTATCAGTCAGAAAATTTTTCATCCATGATAGAAGCTTACCTGTCACCCCTCCAATATTTTCCAGTTTCCAGAACAACCTCTTATGTGGAACTCTGTCGAAAGCCTTTTTTCGGTCCAGATAGATGCAGTCAACCCAACCATCTCTTTCCTGTAATATCTCTGTGGCTCGATCATAGAAACTGAGTAAATTCGATACACAGGATCTTCCAGATCGAAAACCATACTGTCTGTCTGATATTATATCATTTCTCTCTAGGTGTTCTACCCATTTAGTTTTGATTAGTTTTTCCAATACTTTCACTATTACAGTTGTCAATGATACAGGTCTATAATTGAGGGGGTCTTCCCTGCTGCCACTTTTGTAGATTGGAACTATGTTAGCCTGTTTCCACACGTCTGCTACGATTCCTGTACACAGGGATGCCTGAAAGATCAGGTGAAGTGGAGTGCTGAGCTCAGATGCACATTCTCTCAGAACTCGTGGTGAAACGCCATCTGGGCCAGCTGCTTTGTTCTTACAGAGCTCCTTGAGCATTTTTTCCACTTCGTCTCTAGACACCTCTATGTGCTCTATGTTGTTCTCTGGAATTCTTATTGTATCTGGTTCCCTAAAGATTTCATTTTGTACAAACACACTTTGGAACTTTTCGTTTAGTGTTTCACACATTTCCTTTTCGTCTTCCGTGAATCTATTTCCCATTTTCAACCTCTGAATATTATCCTTTACCTGCAATTTGTTGTTTATGAATTTATAGAATAGACCTGGTTCTGTTTTACATTTGTCTGCAATCCCTTTTTCAAAATTTCTTTCTGCATCTCTCCTCACTGCCGTGTAGTTGTTTCTCGCATCTTTGTATCGCTGGTATGTTTGGGGGTTCGGCCTCTTCCTGTATTGATTCCATTTTTGTGTCTTTTGGTCTCTAGCCCTCTCGCAATTTCTATTGAACCAATCCTGTTTCCTAGTTCTGCATCTCTGTTTTGGTATAAATTTTTTGTGCCTTTATCATATATTTCACAAAACTTGACATACATCTCATTCACTTCCTTGCCTAGCATCAAGTCTGTCCAATTATACTCACTAAAAAAATTTCTAAGGTCACCATAATGTCCTCTCCTGAAGTCTGGTTTTTCAACTGCTTCAACCTCCTTATTTTCTTCCAGCTTATAACGCATTGCATACTTTATTCCCAAAAAGACATGGTCACTTTTACCCAAGGGAGGAAGGTACTGAATGTCAAATATCTCTTCCTCCTTCCTGGTAAATATCAAATCTAGCATGGAGGGAACGTCCCCTTCCCTCATCCTCGAAGCTTGTTTAACATGTTGATACAAGAATGTTTCCAGGATGAGGTCTACAAATTTACAGGTCCAAAAATCTTCTGTTTTAGCTTCATATGCTTCCCAGTCTATGGATTTCAAGTTGAAGTCACCGACTATCAACAGTCGTGATCTATCGTTATCTGCTCTCGCTATAATCTCTCTCATTATTGTTATAAGACCTTCACGTTTACTATCTAGCTCCTCCTTTGACCATGTGCTGCTTGGCGGTGGACTATATGCATTTATTATCATTAGTTTATCATCCTCATGGCAGATCTCTAGTGCTATTATGTCAACTTCTTGTGGATTGGCAGTCATTATTTCGTTCACCTTTAGGTGTTCTTTTACCAGCACAGCAACGCCACCGCCTTTCCTAATTTTTCTGTCCCGTCTCCAAATTGAGTAGCCCCTTGGGAATATGACCTCATTTAAAATTACATCTTCAAGTTTTGTCTCCGTGAGTGCAACAATGTCTGGTGTCTGCAGCTGTATTACATCACTTAACTCCAGTATCTTCGATCTCACTCCATCTATGTTGGTGTATGCAATCTTCAGGAACTTGTTCCCCCTCTCGTTATTCTTCACTCCCCCTCTCTCTATTGATTTTGTTGGTTTGCCTTTATGTACCACTTTACTGGTTTGCCTACCCCTATCACTTTGTAGAAAAAAGAATTTATTTATTCTTCATTCCTGCTCTCATTTAAATGTTTTGCCTCGGCGAGGTTCAGTTTCAGCTTCTCTCTATCTTCTTTTGAAAGATCTCGTCTTAACGACCACCCTTTCCCATCCTCATCACTTTGCAATTTTCTAGCATTCCTTAGTACTTCTTCCATCTGTTTGGCACCGTTTAGGGTGATCCTCAAAGGTCGATCTTTCCCTTTTACGTACCTGCCTATTCTCCTGTAGTCGCACACATTCTCTATGGTTGTAAGACCTTCTACGAGGCCAACAATTTTATCTACTACTTTAGCTTCTTCTACAGCTCTTTCTGACCTAGATGTTATCGCCTTTTCTTTGCAGCCAAAAATGATCAGGGACTTACTCCGATCAACTGTGTTTTGCACCAACTTCGGGTTAGATGCCAATTCTTTCCTCACTTCTAGCCTAATGTTTGTTTTATCTTGGTTGCTGCAGTGTTTGACTTCCTTTACTGCTTCTTCTATTTTTTCCTTCTCCTTGGCCACTTGTGCACAAGTGAGTTGCATATCTTTCTTGCACTGTTCTGTTCCCTGTGTAACTTCCTCCATCTGTGCTGACAAAAGCTGTTTCTCCTGTTGAATTTCCTTACCTAACCTATTGTAGTCATTTATGTTTAAATTTACTTTAACTTCTTCCAAAACTATTTTTAAGAGCTTATTTTCTTCTTCCATGGCTTTGCAATTTGTTTCCAATTGATTCTTATCCTTGCGCAAGTCTTTCACTAAACCCTCAAGACATAAAACTTTGCTATTCAAATGGTCATTACTTTCTTTCAATTTATAATAATAATAATAATAATAATTTACTAATTATTTCTACATGAGAGTTCACTATAGTACCTAAATTTACCAACTTGTTATGTAGACTGCTAATATCAATGCTTTCTTCATTGAATCCCTCAAAATCAAGCTCTGTTTTGTTTTTCCCCTTGCCAGTGGCCATCTTGAATGTTCTTCTCTGCACTGTAAACACTAGGGCAACTTTTTCTCATCCGATTTTTCACTTCCCTTAGCACTTTCCTGTTATCTCACCTATTTTTCAAGAGCACTATACCTTTATGTTCTCTGGGACACCACTCACTACCATCAACCTGTACTACAATACTTAGGATTGTTGAAATATGCTGGAGCTCCTCTGCTGCAAGTGTTGACCCTAGGGGTGTCACCTTTTTGTTCACCTTTGTGTGTGTGTGTGTGTGTGTGTGTGTGTGTGTGTGTGTGTGTGTGTGTGTGTGTGTGTGTGTGTGTGTGTGTGTGCGTGTGTGCGCGTGCGCGCGTGTGTGTGCGCGCGCGTGTGTGTGTGTGTATGTGCGTGCGTGCGTGCGTGTGTGCGTGTGCGTGTGTGTGTGTCGCAGACAATGGTTGCCTGAGAACGCCACTGACCGAGTCCTGGGAACTTCCGGATGCCAGACTTGAGGACGATCTTGCAGTTGTGCGCTGGAGGGGAGGTGGCGTGGGCCAGGGCGCCCCAGAAGAAGTTCCAGTCGAGACGGTTCCTGTGATTGAGAATGATAATGGAGGTCTCACCCGGCCGTATTACATCCCCCGACAGGAAGAACCTCACGCCGTACACCACTTCCATTAGCGCCTGCCACAAGAGGACTCTAATCAGATAAAATTACAAATTAAAATAATGTGACACAAACAAGTTTTTAAACAGAAACATTTAACCAGAGGTATTGGAGAAACACGCATTCAATCTTGTAAGTTAAATTTTCAATTATACACAGCTAGGCTATGGTAGCCTAGCCTAATTCTGAAAATTACTGTCTCACTCTGGTTGACGTTTTTTGCTGAAACATACATAGCTATCATTCTAAACAAATCAGAACTTATTCTACTAGTACTTTCAGACCACTTGAGTCTATGATTTCTCTCCAATTTGACCAGTGATAAGTGTATGTAGATCTAGTTCAACTTCATTCTTGTTGCATGCTAATTTGGCTACTAGCGAGCATCAGAGGGACTTAACTTTCTCTATGTGTCTACACTACACTAGTCGATCCGAAGTAATTACTTACATAATTATATTATAAAAGTTACTGGGGAGACAGAGGGGAGGAGGGTAGGGTAGGGTAGGAGAGAGAAATTGAGATAGAAGGATGAAGGAGGAGGATAATGGGAAGGTTACAGGGAAAGAGACAAAAGGCTACGTGGGTCGACGACGGGATGGAAAGAACTTCAAAGTCCCTCTCTCCGCCCACCCAACGGACAAAATATGATGTACTATCATATATATATATATATATATATATATATATATATATATATATATATATATATATATATATATATATATATATATATATGTCGTACCTAGTAGCCAGAACGCACTTCTCAGCCTACTATGCAAGGCCCAATTTGCCTAATAAGCCAAGTTTTCCCGAATTAATATATTTTCTCTAATTTTTTTCTTATGAAATGATAAAGCTACCCATTTCATTATGTATGAGGTCAATTTTTTTTTTATTGGAATTAAAATTAACGTAGATATATGACCGAACCTAACAAACCCAACCTAACCTAACCTATCTTTATAGGTTAGGTTAGGTTAGGTAGCCGAAAAAGTTAGGTTAGGTTAGGTTAGGTTAGGTAGGTTAGGTAGTCGAAAAACAATTAATTCATGAAAACTTGGCTTATTAGGCAAATTGGGCCTTGCATAGTAGGCTGAGAAGTGCGTTCTGGCTACTAGGTACGACATATATATATATATATATATATATATATATATATATATATATATATATATATATATATAGACATATATTATTATATGTCCTGGGGACCATTCATATATATATATATATTAATATGACCGAAAAAGTAAGATTAATAATTCTAACACGAATTTTCTCGATCTTTCGTACGTTTCTTTTCACTGTTGGTGGTAATTCAAAAATCAATTCTCCAAAAATCATTTTTATTTCTAGTCTGACGCGACACTTGAGCGCGTTTCGTAAAACTTATTACATTTTCAAAGACTTTAGCTTACACATACACAACTGAATAGAACTTACACATCTTCGATTTGCTTATATCTACATTTGAGTGAGGTGGATGGGGTGAGGTGGTATTAATAGGGTATTAAATTCCTAAACACAAGACAGAACACGAAACAATGGGTATTGAATGGAAGTGATTTGTAGAAAGCCTATTGGACCATATTTCTTGATGCTTCTATATTGGAGCGGAGTCTTGAGGTGGGTAGAATATAGTTGTGCATTAATTGGCTGTTGATTGCTGGTGTTGACTTCTTGATGTGTAGAGCCTCGCAGACGTCAAGCCGCCTGCTATCGCTGTATCTATCGATGATTTCTGTGTTGTTTACTAGGATTTCTCTGGCGATGGTTTGGTTGTGGGAAGAGATTATGTAGATTAATGGTTATTAATGGTAGATTAATGGTTATGTAGATTAATGGATTAATGGAGATTAATGGTTATCTCAAATGTAGATATAAACAAATCGAAGATGTGTAAGTTCTATTCAGTTGTGTATGTGTAAGCCAAAGTCTTTGAAAATGTAATAAGTTTTACGAAACGTGCTCAAGTGTCGTGTCAGACTAGAAATAAAAATGATTTTTGGAGAATTGATTTTTGAATTACCACCAACAGTGAAAAGAAACGTACGAAAGATCGAGAAAATTCGTGTTAGAATTATTAATCTTACTTTTTCGGTCATATTTAATTATATATATATATATATATATATATATATATATATATATATATATATATATATATATATATATATAGGGGGGTACCACCACTGGTGTAATTATAGGGACCCACAGCCTCAGAGAAGGGAACACAGAGCACTCAGGGAAAAACTTGACATTTAACTCTGAATACGAAAGTGTTCACTTCTCCTACCACCCCCTTTTTTTTTATTATGATGTACACTTTATTATGCAAGGTTATACAGTTACATATCTGATTTTATACAAAAAATGAACATTAAGAGGACACAAGAAAAAGTTCGCTTCCTAGAGGCTGTAGATTTCCTCGAACTCCTCCGACGCCGGGCAGGAACCGAGGATGCAGCGGGCATTTCCCCTCTGGATCGCGACACTGAGGCGCTGAAAGAGAAAACTTGCTGCTCTAGGGTCTCTTGTGGTGTCAATGAGCTTGGAACCAAGATCCTTAAGAAACCTTCTTGCACTCTCACCCCATGGGCCTAGGGTCTCAGACCCTATTGGAACGAAATTCTACCTTTGATCTAATTGCCTGTACTTGACTGACTTTTGTTTTTCTCTGTGTGTCGCTGCGGCTCCTGCCGTGCCGGCAGAGAGGGTGATGTATGTCGTTGCCAGGGTGGATACGCAAGTATAGTCCCATGCTAACTGCCTGCCACCCTTCCACGGACGCAGTGTGATTCCGTCTGGTCGGCCGGCAAAGCTAACAGAGTTACGGTTCAGTAGGTTGCGGGGCTCTCTCTCCGCTGGACACTGAGCAGAGGCAAGGCTTCTTTTAATGATGTCGTTGACTTCGTCGTGTCTAGTGTGCCAACCACCCGATTTTCCACAGTGCAGGCCATGCAATCCATATTCGTCAGCATCTGCCTCGCCGCAAATACACCTGTGAACAGTGTGGATAGGGGCAGCAAGGCGGAGAGCGACTGCAATACGGAGCTCCTGCGGATCAAGACGTGTGCCTGTCGCAGACATAGGGACTGCCAGAAGGAAGTCCCCTGCATGGGGAGCCTGCACAGCTGTGAGGCGTGCACGATCACTGGGGGTTGTTGCTGCCTCCAGCAAAGCTGTGGCTTCTTTGTCTACAATGGGGCTGTCCCAACTGGATTGTTTCTTGGCTTTCGGCATGGCTGGTCTGAGTGCTGGGTCTGTCATGGCCCCCCATTTCGTGTCGCATTCCGTGTAGTGGGGGTCCTGTATCCCCGCTACATCACTCAGGGTGTCAGGTAGAATTTCCTTAACCAGGTCATCTGATGCTGAGGAGGAAGACAGGAAGGCTGGGACAGCAATTTGGGTGGCGGTGCGGACACCCAAGCCACCGAGCCTGACAGGAAGAGTGGCTTGTTTCCACTGGCATTCGTTGAGAGAGAGGTTAACAACTTTTTCCAGCATGGTCTTCAGTAGGAGGTCATACTCGTCAAGCTTTGGGTTGTTGTAAGATGGGGCGCACCTCAGAAAGTAGGTTAGCCTCGGAAGGGATAGGCATTTGGTGAGGAGATAAAAAGCATCGTGGGCATCGATGTCACCTATTCTGTCTTCCATCCTCCTAAGGTCTGCGATTTTCTTGTCGAGGATCTCCTCAATGGCGTTAGACCCGAGGGGAGCTCCAAGGAGGGTGCTGTTCTCGGCCCTAATGACATGGGCTCCAGGCAAAGCAGACCTTATTCTAGCTACGATGTCTGGGTTGGAGGAGACTACTTCACACTTGGAAGGGTTCAGGACGAGACCCAGGCTTACTTCTTGCTCCCTTATTTTCCTGATATCTGACAAGAGGTGGTCTACGGTGCCAGCTATAGTGCCATCATCCAAAAACCAGATGTTGAACTCGCTGGACAAGCTTTCGGTGATTTCTTTTAAGACTAAGCAGAAAAGAAGGGGAGCAAGAGGATCACCTTGCTGAACACCTTCACATGATCTGATTTCATGTTCACCAAAGAGCAGTTTTGACTCGCCACTGTAGCACGATAGTATGAACGGGTAGAGGGGCCGGAAATGGCGATGTACGGCACAAAGTACTGCATCTCTTCTTACCATGTTGAAGGCATTCTTAAAGTCCAGTTTGAGCAGGGCCTTTTCATCAGAAATGTTTGTGATGTATGCTCGTGCTATATATATATATATATATATATATATATATATATATATATATATATATATATATATATATCGTACCTAATAGCCAGAACGCACTTCTCAGCCAACTATGCATGGCCCAATTTACCTAATAAGCCAAGTTTTCATGAATTAATGTTTTTTCGACTACCTAACCTACCTAACCTAACCTAACCTAACTTTTTCTGCTACCTAACCTAACCTAACCGATAGAGATAGGTTAGGTTAGGTTAGGTAGGGTTGGTTAGGTTCGGTCATATATCTACGTTAATTTTAACTCCAATAAAAACAAATTGACCTCATACATAATGAAATGGGTAGCTTTATCATTTTATAAGAAAAAAATTAGAGAAAATATATTAATACAGGAAAACTTGGCTTATTAGGCAAATCGGGCCTTGCATAGTAGGCTGAGAAGTGCGTTCTGGCTATTAGGTACGACATATATATATATATATATATATATATATATATATATATATATATATATATATATATATATATATATATATATACATACATACATACATACATCTTGAGGTAATCTTGAGATGATTTCGGGGCTTTTGTGTCCCCGCGGCCCGGTCCTCAACCAGGCCTCCACCCCCAGGAAGCAACCCATGACAGCTGACTAACACCCAGGTACCTATTTTACTGCTAGGTAACAGGGACATAGGGTGAAAGAAACTCTGCCCATTGTTTCTCTCCGGCGCCCGGGATCGAACCCGGGACCACAGGATCACAAGTCCAGTGTGCTGTCCGCTCGGCCGACCGGCTCCCTTGTAAGTTAAATACGTATGTACATACATACATACACGGGCTGGGGGGGGGGGGAATTTTAAAGGCTAAATTTACTAGAGAAAAAACTAATTAATTTCCTTGTCAAAATAGTATACATATTTTAATAGAAACGACGTGATGTCCAATATTAAAAAAAGTAAAAAAAAATTTACATTTTACATATGGATTTCCATATATATATAAGCACATGTATAATGCAAATTTAAAAAGAGAATGAGAGCTTGTGTTCACTTGTTAAAACACACAAGTTACTTTATAGCACAAATTGAGCATGAAAAAACAAATGTGTTCCCAGCATTAGGACCACATCACGATTTTGGAATATTTTGATTCTGTGATTCTTTGATTCTGTGTTTAGCTTTAGGCTAATATAGACATTAAACTGAGTAACTAGCTTATCAAGACTGTAACTTGCTAAGCTAAATGAATTTTCGGGTTCAGTTCCTGAGCCTATAATGTGCTTCTGTAAGCTTTTCCACCACCGCCAACAGGATGCGCACGGGGTGCATAATAAATGAACTAAAGTAATCAAATATGTAACGAAAGGCGAGGAATATGAGAAATAGAAATAACTAGACGCCAACGTGAATATTACTGTTACGCAAACGTAACAGTAATACGTTAGTATCGAGGAAAATACAATAAGTCATGCAAATACAAAAATGAATGAAAGATTGACAGCAATAGAACGAGGGAACGAAGACGGACATGGGTGACGTTAGCAAAAGGTAAAAACAGATGATTAGTCTTGACAGAATATGAATGAACTTATTGGGAGATAAAAATAGATGACTGATTATAGATAAAAATAGATGATTGATCATCGACCGCGCATATGTTTAGATAGAGGCTGATCATTAGTTACATGGCCTTATAATTAACTCTGGCATGTACTCTCACATAAAATAAAAATCATGCCTCACCTGACGTAACTTGGCAACACAAGTTCCACCTACTTTGAGGTTTATATTTAGAAAATTAAAGGGATTTTAATTCATTCCGATTCTTGTAAATGTATTGGCGTACATGTTCGTTCTCGACTCTCAATTGGGAATTCCGGGTTTAACTCCCGGTCGGGATAAAAGTGGTTGGGCGCCTTTCCTATCGCCTAATGTTGCTGTTCCCTTAGCAGTAAATGGTTGCCCAGTCAGCTTCCTGTGGTGTTTCCTCCTGAGGGAAGGTCAGTACTTCGAGTTTGTAAATGCATATTAATGACACTATGTAAAAGACACATCGAACACTTTATGTAGGGCATACGTAAATCTGTGTATCTATGTATTTACGTATGTAGGTTAGCTTAGCATTTTAAAAGCACCGAATCACCTTCTGTGGTTGATTGTTCAATAAACCCTTGAACAATAAACAATAAACCCTTGAACAATAGACCTTGTTAGGTTTAACACATCTCTAACCCTGTCCATGGAGGACAGAAGAAAATGTATATATGCTGGTAAGCATTGTAAATGTGTGGCCACGTTTGTGGTAGAAAAAAAAAAAAGTACTTCGAGTCTAGGGTATGACCGGGACCTCGATGTAAGCCTAACATGTATATATGTCTAATGCACCTGTCTAATGCCTTGGATTGACCCTCTGCGTGACCTGACATGACCCACCACAGCGTAGCTCTCCCACATGGTGAAGATGACCTCTGTAGTCCTCCTGTATGTGGGGCGGGATACGAACAGGAGGGCAAGGGCTGGGCAGTAGAGCGAGAAGAACCCCATCAGTATCGACCCATACCTGCAGATGCAAGGGAATATTTGACATAAAATTAAATATTTGTTTTTACGAGGAAAAAATGGACAGATTCTATCTATTTTATCTTGACATGGACAAATTTGGTGCTTTATATATATATATATATATATATATATATATATATATATATATATATATATATATATATATATATATATATATATATATAATATGTCGTACCTAGTAGCCAGAACGCACTTCTCAGCCTACTATGCAAGGCCCGATTTGCCTAATAAGCTAAGTTTTCATGAATTGTTTTTCGACTACCTAACCTACCTAACCTAACCTAAATTTTTCGGCTACCTAATCTAACCTAACCTCTAAAGATAGGTTAGGTTAGGTTAGGTAGGGTTGGTAAGGTTCGGTCATATATCTACGTTAATTTTAACTCCAATAAAAAAAAAATTGGACTCATACATAATGAAATGGGTAGTTTTATCATTTCATAAGAAAAAAATTAGAGAAAATATATTAATTCAGGAAAACGTGGCTTATTAGGCAAATCGGGCCTTGCATAGTAGGCCGAGAAGTGCGTTCTGGCTACTAGGTACGACATATATATATATATATATATATATATATATATATATATATATATATATATATATATATATATATATATATATATATATATATGTCGTACCTAGTAGCCAGAACTCACTTCTCAGCCTACTATTCAAGGCCCGATTTGCCTAATAAGCCAAGTTCTCCTGAATTAATATATTTACTACAATTTTTTTCTTATGAAATGATAAAGCAACCCTTTTCTCTATGTATGAGGTCAATTTTTTTTTATTGGAGTTAAAATTAACGTAGATATATGACCAAACCTAACCAACCCTACCTAACCTAACCTAACCTATATTTATAGGTAAGGTTAGGTTAGGTAGCCTAAAAAAGCTAGGTTAGGTTAGGTTAGGTAGGTTAGGTAGACGAAAAAACATTAATTCATGAAAACTTGGCTTATTAGGCAAATCGGGCCTTGAATAGTAGGCTGAGAAGTGCGTTCTGGCTATTAGGTACGACATATATATATATATATATGTCGTACCTAGTAGCCAGAACGCACTTCTTGGCCTACTATGCAAGGTCCGATTTGCCTAATAGGCAGAATGATTTTTTTTTATTTTCAATAAATTGTTTCCAATTAGTTCATTTTAAATATTATTATTATATTTTATTAGGAACATAAATTATTGGCGTATTTGTTAGTTTATGTAAGGTTTAGATAGGTTAGATTAGTTTAGGTAGGGTTGGTTAGGTTCGGTCATATATCTACGTTAGTTTTAACTCAAATTTAAAGAAATTAACTTATACATAATGAAATAGCCAGATTTATCATTTCATAAGAAAAAAATTGAAAAATATATAAATTCAGGAAAACTTGGCTTATTAGGCAAATCGAGTCTTGCATAGTAGGCCGAGTACGACGTTCTGGCACTAGGTACATCAAATATATATATATATATATATATATATATATATATATATGTCGTACCTAGTAGCCAGAACGCACTTCTCAGCCTACTATGCAAGGCCCGATTTGCCTAATAAGCCAAGTTTTCCTGAATTAATATATTTTTTCTAATTTTTTTCTTATGAAATGATAAAGCTACCCATTTCATTATGTATGAGGTCAATTTTTTTTTTATTGGAGTTAAAATTAACGTAGATATATGACCGAACCTAACCAACCCTACCTAACCTAACCTAACCTATCTTTATAGGTTAGGTTTGGTTAGGTAGCCGAAAAAGTTAGGTTAGGTTAGGTTAGGTAGGTTAGGTAGTCGAAAAACAATTAATTCATGAAAACTTGGCTTATTAGGCAAATCGGGCCTTGAATAGTAGACCAAAAAGTGAGTTCTGGCTACTAGGTACGACATATATATATATATATATATATATATATATATATATATATATATATATATATATATATATATATATGTCGTACCTAGTAGCCAGAACGCACTTCTCAGCCTACTATGCAAGGCCCGATTTGCCTAATAAGCCTAGTTTTCCTGAATTAATATATTTTCTCTATTTTTTTTCTTATGAAATGATAAAGCTACCCATTTCATTATGTATGAGGTCAATTTTTTGTTATTGGAGTTAAAATTAACGTAGATATATGACCGAACCTAACCAACCCTACCTAACCTAACCTATCCTATCTTTATAGGTTAGGTTAGGTTAGGTAGCCAAAAAAGTTAGGTTAAGTTAGGTTAGGTAGGTTAGGTAGTCGAATAAACATTAATTCATGAAAACTTGGCTTATTAGGCAAATCGGGCCTTGCATAGTAGGCTGAGAAGTGCGTTCTGGCTACTAGGTACGACATATATATATATATATATATATATATATATATATATATATATATATATATATATATATGTCGTACCTAGTAGCCAGAACTCACTTTTTGGCCTACTATTCAAGGCCCGTTTTCCCTAATAAGCCAAGTTTTCCTGAATTAATATATTTTTTCTAATTTTTTTCTTATGAAATGATAAAGCTACCCATTTCATTATGTATGAGGTCATTTTTTTTTTATTGGAGGTAAAATTAACGTAGATATATGACCGAACCTAACCAACCCTACCTAACCTAACCTAACCTATCTTTATAGGTTAGGTTTGGTTAGGTAGCCGAAAAAGTTAGGTTAGGTTAGGTTAGGTAGGTTAGGTAGTCGAAAAACAATTAATTCATGAAAACTTGGCTTATTAGGCAAATCGGGCCTTGCATAGTAGGCTGAGAAGTGCGTTCTGGCTATTAGGTACGACATATATATATATATATATATATATATATATATATATATATATATATATATATATATATATATATATATGAGTTATATGAAGATAGATTGATTCCACCGCCCATTTGACCTCACTGATATGAAAAATAAAATGAATGAGGCATAATTGATATGATGAACAAGAAATGTGCAAATATTTGATATCAATAACCCCATTAGCCAAAGCCTGCTTTATTGGTTATTGAAGAAAAAGTGACTTGATTGCCTCATAACATATTGAACGAAAACATCTAGGTCATCTGTCTGTAATCAGTTTGACACAGGAGACTGAGATATTTCCGGTTGAAACCCTGTATAGGACGTTTTATATTCGCTATTCAAAGACATTTCCATTGTTGTAATTTCTAATTTTGTTTCCTGAACCATGCCATCTTAGAAACTATGGACATCTTGAAGATTAGTAAGCCTGATTTCAAACACTATTCTCGGTACGATTCAAACAACTTCCCCCCAAGTCTTTCATTCTCTAAATCTAAGGTCAGTATCCTCAATATCTATGGTAAGTACTGTAATAAGATAATTGCAAGTTTTTCTGACTCTTACAAAAGTGTTACTGGGAAGTTCAAGCTTGTATCTGTAGTCGATTTAATATAATGATTATATATTATGTTTGGGAAATATTTATTCAAATCCAATCTTCCATTTCAACTCATCTGCTTGAAAGCAAATAAGACCGAAGCTCTTATTAGTATTATCTAAACAATTTAAACCGTCTTGGGGTACTACACTGACATCTCCCCCGTACTACACTGACATCTCCCTCGTACTACGCAGACATCTCCCCCGTACTACACTGAAACTATTCGCTCCCTTCTCGTTGAGTCTTGTGTGCGTGCGTGCGTTCTGGAACGCATACTCTTGCGAAAGTCACATTTCCTATTGTTAGCCTCAGGCCGTGTGTTTTGTCAATATCTGCAGGTAAAGTGTCACCAGCGCAATACCTCTCATCCACCTTGCAGCTTGCTCACTCTTGCGAAATGCGTAAAGTGGAATTACTGCAGTAGTTATAAAGAAGGAAAGTTCAGAGAGAGTTTTAATTTGTTCATATATAATATATATATATATATATATATATATATATATATATATATATATATATATATATATATATATATATATATATATTTATATATATATATATATATATATGTCGTACCTAGTAGCCAGAACACACTTCTCAGCCTACTATGCAAGGCCCGATTTGCCTAATAAGCCAAGTTTTCATTAAATAATTGTTTTTCGATTACCTAACCTACCTAACCTAACTTTTTCGGCTGCCTAACCGAACCTAACCTATAGAGATAGGTTAGGTTAGGTTAGGTTAGGTAGGGTTGGTTAGGTTCGGTCATATATCTACGTTAATTTTAATTTCAATAACAAAAAATTGACCTCATACATAATGAAATTGGTAGCTTTATCATTTCATAAGAAAAAAATTAGAGAAAATATATTAATTCAGGAAAACTTGGCTTATTAGGCAAATCGGGCCTTGCATAGTAGGCTCAGAAGTGCGTTCTGGCTACTAGGTACGACATATATATATATATATATATATATATATATATATATATATATATATATATATATATATATATATGCGAACAAGCCTGAATGGTCCCCAGGACTATATGCGAATGAAAACTCACACCCCAGAAGTGACTCGAACCCATACTCCCAGAAGCAACGCAACTGGTAACTACAGGGCGCCTTAATCCGCTTGACCATCACGGCCGTCAAAAGGAAGTGATAGCCGAGGCTATATGAGCCACTTCCCCGACGGCAACTCGGATGGTAATCTTGGGCATAGCATTTCACCAAATCACCTCATTCTTTGGGGCACACGTGAGGAACACAAATGCGAACAAGCCTGAATGGTCCCCAGGACTATATGCGAATGAAAACTCACACCCCAGAAGTGACTCGAACCCATACTCCCAGAAGCAACGCAACTGGTAACTACAGGGCGCCTTAATCCGCTTGACCATCACGGCCGTCAAAAGGAAGTGATAGCCGAGGCTATATGAGCCACTTCCCCGACGGCAACTCGGATGGTAATCTTGGGCATAGCATTTCACCAAATCACCTCATTCTTTGGGGCACACGTGAGGAACACAAATGCGAACAAGCCTGAATGGTCCCCAGGACTATATGCGAATGAAAACTCACACCCCAGAAGTGACTCGAACCCATACTCCCAGAAGCAACGCAACTGGTAACTACAGGGCGCCTTAATCCGCTTGACCATCACGGCCGTCAAAAGGAAGTGATAGCCGAGGCTATATGAGCCACTTCCCCGACGGCAACTCGGATGGTAATCTTGGGCATAGCATTTCACCAAATCACCTCATTCTTTGGGGCACACGTGAGGAACACAAATGCGAACAAGCCTGAATGGTCCCCAGGACTATATGCGAATGAAAACTCACACCCCAGAAGTGACTCGAACCCATACTCCCAGAAGCAACGCAACTGGTAACTACAGGGCGCCTTAATCCGCTTGACCATCACGGCCGTCAAAAGGAAGTGATAGCCGAGGCTATATGAGCCACTTCCCCGACGGCAACTCGGATGGTAATCTTGGGCATAGCATTTCACCAAATCACCTCATTCTTTGGGGCACACGTGAGGAACACAAATGCGAACAAGCCTATCACTTCCTTTTGACGGCCGTGATGGTCAAGCGGATTAAGGCGCCCTGTAGTTACCAGTTGCGTTGCTTCTGGGAGTATGGGTTCGAGTCACTTCTGGGGTGTGAGTTTTCATTCGCATATAGTCCTGGGGACCATTCAGGCTTGTTCGCATTTGTGTTCCTCACGTGTGCCCCAAAGAATGAGGTGATTTGGTGAAATGCTATGCCCAAGATTACCATCCGAGTTGCCGTCGGGGAAGTGGCTCATATAGCCTCGGCTATCACTTCCTTTTGACGGCCGTGATGGTCAAGCGGATTAAGGCGCCCTGTAGTTACCAGTTGCGTTGCTTCTGGGAGTATGGGTTCGAGTCACTTCTGGGGTGTGAGTTTTCATTCGCATATAGTCCTGGGGACCATTCAGGCTTGTTCGCATTTGTGTTCCTCACGTGTGCCCCAAAGAATGAGGTGATTTGGTGAAATGCTATGCCCAAGATTACCATCCGAGTTGCCGTCGGGGAAGTGGCTCATATAGCCTCGGCTATCACTTCCTTTTGACGGCCGTGATGGTCAAGCGGATTAAGGCGCCCTGTAGTTACCAGTTGCGTTGCTTCTGGGAGTATGGGTTCGAGTCACTTCTGGGGTGTGAGTTTTCATTCGCATATAGTCCTGGGGACCATTCAGGCTTGTTCGCATTTGTGTTCCTCACGTGTGCCCCAAAGAATGAGGTGATTTGGTGAAATGCTATGCCCAAGATTACCATCCGAGTTGCCGTCGGGGAAGTGGCTCATATAGCCTCGGCTATCACTTCCTTTTGACGGCCGTGATGGTCAAGCGGATTAAGGCGCCCTGTAGTTACCAGTTGCGTTGCTTCTGGGAGTATGGGTTCGAGTCACTTCTGGGGTGTGAGTTTTCATATTCATATATATATATATATATATATATATATATATATATATATGTCGTACCTAATAGCCAGAACGCACTTCTCAGCCTACTATTCAAGGCCCGATTTGCCTAATAAGCCAAGTTTTCATGAATTAATGTTTTTTCGTCTACCTAACCTACCTAACCTAACCTAACCTAGTTTTTTTTGGCTACCTAACCTAACCTTACCTATAAATATAGGTTAGGTTAGGTTAGGTAGGGTTGGTTAGGTTCGGTCATATATCTACGTTAATTTTAACTCCAATAAAAAAAAATTGACCTCATACATAGAGAAAAGGTTTGCTTTATCATTTCATAATAAAAAAATTATAGTAAATATATTAATTCAGGAAAACTTGGCTTATTAGGCAAATCGGGCCATGAATAGTAGGCTGAGAAGTGACTTCTGGCTACTAGGTACGACATATATATATATATATATATATATATATATATATATATATATATATATATATATATATATATATATATATATATATATATATATTTATTTCATATTCATGTGACGGTTTCCGGGTTCTTGAAATAAGTGATCTTTTCGGGAAGAGTGCGTGCCCACCTTGTATGCAATGCAATTTGAATGCACCCTCGAATTCTTCACGGCTTTTACACTCCCTCATGAATTCTGACTGACTCTTACACCTCATATTCATTCTGGCTCTCAAGGCACCTCGTATTCTATGCATAATGCAATGAAATATGTGATATTTTAATGACTTACTTTGGTTTTAATCTAATATTCTTTATCACTAACAATTTAGTTTATACATATATACTAACAACTAGAACAAAATACAGCAAGTTCACTTCTTTCCAGCTAGTAAATATGAGCAAAAAATCATATCAACTAAATAATTGTCAATTTTCTTTTGATTCTTCTACATATTTATGTTAATTGCCATAACCATACATTTAAGAGGCTCCATACAACTTAAGTAATCCTTCGTGCATATATAATTAAGTTCATGTGTGCTTGTATAAACAAGCGCCACCACTTAGATAACTGTGTCCCCAAGATGGAGATTTCATCTTTAGGAAGCCATATCTGCCTTGGAGAAAGTTCAACGTCGGTTGTTAAAAATCATTCCAGAATTAAGTCGCCTCTCACACCAGTAACGGTTGAGGACCACAGGCCTAACAACACTGCAAACCAGACATGACAGGGCTGATATCTTCGAATCTTTTAAAATAGTGAACAGTTTCGAGGATATTGATCTAGACCACTTCTCCAAAAGGTCAGATGTAACACGAACAAGGGGAGGCAACGGTTTCAAGCTCAACAAGCCACAACGTAAGACTGAAAACAGGAGAGGCTTTTTCACCCGTAGGATTATAAACCCATGGAACAGCCTTCCGCCGAAGCCGAAAATTGTCAAAACAATGATTTTCAAAATCCAGCGCATAAAAATCATCAGGACAAATGGGGGGGGGGGACTTTGACAAGCCGCCGGCTTCCTATCCTTGCCGAGACGACTAAAGAGATAGTGGCCCTCAGGTAAATTATTCAGTTAAATAGTTTGACCTATGCAGAAAACTGGGCAGGGCCTACATTATACAATATATTCAACATATGGATACATTCTAATACAACATATGGATACATTCTAATACAACATATGGATACATTCTAATACAACATATGGATACATTCTAATACAACATATGGCTATATTCTGACACAATGTATGAATACAATCTAATACAAGATATGGATACATTCTAATATAACAAATGAATATATTCTAACACAATGTACGGATACAATCTAATACAACTTATGGATGCATTCTAATACAACATAAAAATACATTCTAATACAACATAAAAATACATTCTAATACAACATATTGGAATATTCTAATACAACATATTGGAATATTCTAATACAACATATTGGTATATTCTCATACACCATATGGATACATTCTAATACAACATATTGGTACATTCTAATACAACATATTGGTACATTCTAATACAACATATTGGTACATTCCAATACAACATACGGGACCATTTATACTAGGTGACTAATCTGGGTGCTATTCAAACTACTCAATCGGCCACATAAAGGCACTTGGAATCATCTCAACTGAACAGTTCTAATTTCCCCCTATTACTGTTCAGGAGGGAGGTGTCCTTACCACAGCAAGACGAAGGTGATGCCCTTGACCCAGCCATGCCATGCGGGGGGCTGTTTCACCGTGTCCTCTCCTCCCACGTCCAAGGACGTGGGTCTCTTTAGTTTAGTGGCGGTAGTTTTAGTTGTGGCTTCGTTGCAGGCCCCTTCGTTGTTTACATCCTCTGCTCCCATCGCCATTGTTGGGTATTTGTACCTGTGGATGAGACACAAAGGAAACAAATAATATTTTTACGGGAGTTCTGGGTTAGCAAACGATCACTCTCTCGCAAGAGAGTCCGCCTTCGTGACTATTAAACGAACTGTTCTTTACTGAAAGTCAGTATAAGCTGAACTGACTGAAATTAACTGTTTGAAAGAAACACGTCAGCCTCAACGTAACTGATTGAATACAAATTTAAAATTGGCTAGCATTAAGCTAGGCTAAAATAGTGGCAGTTGGAAAGCAATACTGGTTGCTACTGTGGCTGATATGTTGCGAAAGTCTAAGTAACGTCATAAGATAAGAGGTCTCTGTCATTACCGTAATATTCAACTATGGTCATTACAATATTCATCATCTAAAAGCAATTTTACAAGATGTACTCCGGACAATATTGTATAATGTGTACATTCTTCTACATTATTGCACAATATTGTAGATTACAGTACATATTACAATTTTGTATGATAAAAAGAGGTTAAAACTGTACTGGAACAAAATATCCACATATATTTTGTGTATCATGCACATCAGAGCCTCTAACTCGGGACCACAAAAGCAGAAACCCGGAATCCAGGGTTGGAAGTTACGATGATCCAAGTGAATTAAATGTTTTATAAGCACGTTATTGTTATTGTGCTATAGTTACTGCAAGAGTAACCTGTTCTCTTTATAGCACGTCGCATTCTGACGAATCTTTACCCTAAGACAAAAAACTGAATTACAAGAAAATAGTAGCGGCTCGCAACATTAACTTTATGTGCCTTAAATACAAGATCTATAGCGTGCACTGAGATAACTCACGATGAGCTACTGGATGCTATAAAAAGTGGCAGCTCTACTGCTCCGGGAAAAGATGGAGTAACGTATGACATTCTTAATTATTTAGCCGGTATGAAACCTAGTCCCTTACTTGATTTGTTTAATATGAGTTATAGAGAGGGAAAGTTACCAAGAAAATGGAAAGAGGCAGTCATCATTCCTATCCCTAAGTCAAACGGTGGCTACAGACCTGTCTCCTTAATATCCTGCTTTTGTAAAATGATGGAAAGGATTTTGTTAAATAGGCTACTCTACCTTGTAGGTGATAACATGTCCTGTAATCTCTTTGGTTTTATCAAAGGCAAAAGTACTGCGGATTGTCTCTTAAAGTGTTTGTCTAATATGGATGACAATTGTAGAGTTTTTGTTGATCTACAAGGAGCATTTGATAAAGCCAATGGGGAAGTAATCTTATACGAATTAGCCAATCTGGGAATAACAGGGAGATTGTTACACTGGATAAGGGATTATCTACAAGGCAGAAAAGGTCAGGTGTATTATCAGGGATGCATGTCTGAGGAACGGAGGTTTCAGTTAGGTACCCCACAAGGGGGAGTATTAAGTCCCACCTTATTCAATGTATTAATGAACAGATTAGCATCAGAAATGTATCCTCCAGGGGTCACGACGATCATATATGCTGATGACATTCTTATACAAGGCACTTCCGGGAACAAAATTCAAACTGCTCTTAACATACTTGGTACAACCTGTCACAAGTTAGGCTTAGTTATAAATGCAGATAAAACCAAATATGAGTATAGGAAACGAAGAAATATAACACTTACTCTAAATGGTGTGGAACTGAGCCGTGTTCAGAAGTACAAGTATCTGGGCATGTATGTTGGATACACATGTGAGAGAAAAAATGCTGAAATAAATCATATCAGCACCTTATGTAAAGCCCGTCTGCATCCTCTAAAAGCACTGGCTTTTTCTGGTAAAGGTGTTGGGGTACCTATCTTACGGATGTTATACATAAGCACTGTTCGGTCCCTGATAGACTACGCAGCACCCGTTTTGTCTTACACAGGCCAAGGCAGAATTCAAAAAATAGAGCTGATACAGAACGAGGCTATGAGGATTATTCTTGGATGTCAAAGAAATGCAATGATTGAAATAATGAGAATGGAATTAAATTTACAGAGTGTGTGTGATAGAGTCCGTGACATTAACACTAGAGTAGCTATTCGTTTCATGCGGAGAAAAGGAGGGGATAAGCTGTTTGAGAGCGTTCAGACCTGCTTGAGTGACGTACACACTTCCAGGAAACTGAGGGAGACACGCTACACGAGGGGATTAGCTCATGACCTCAGGGAATACGATGTACTTGACTGCTGTAAACCCTCTCGACAGGGTAATATGTCTGCTCCCTGGAAAGTACAGAAAATAGACGTCGAAATTGTACCCCTCAATGTGAAAAAGATTCATCATGAACCGGGACAATTACGGTGTATGTATGGAAGCATGATATCCCGGTTACCAAGAGGCAACAGTTTACATGTATATTGCGACGGGTCGGTGGCGGAGGATGGCAGGGCAGGGTGTGGTGTCCTAATAAGGGAATATACGGAGTTTGGGACTGTGGACAGGAAAATTGAACTCCGGCTTAGTAATTATATATCATCCACACAAGCTGAACTGCAGGCCATTCTGGCGTGTTTGGAGGAAGTTCGTCATGACGACAAAAATGTTTTTGTATTTGTCGATAGCCGAGGAGCACTGGAGTCCTTAAACAGTCGAAACCCAGTCTTCATGTCTATAGTTGAGGATTGTAAGATAAGAATAGCTGAGATACAGCTGAAAGGTCATAGTGTGAAATTCATGTGGATTCCATCTCATGTTGGAATAGTGCTCAACGAGGTGGCGGATGACTTGGCCAAACGTGCCACATCAAAACCACAAATTGACATTGAATGTGAATTCACAATGAGACAAATAAGAAGCAAAATCAGAAATATTCAGGCACAGGCAGGAGTGGAGAGGAGAGGGATAATGTATGAGAGAAGTCTAACCATGCAACACTACATGTATGTGAGTCAAAACACCCTTTTCACTTATGGTAAAAGGAGAAATGCTTGGAGTGACTCTGTGTACATGCGGCTCAGGCTTGGGTACAAATATTACTGGGAATATGGGATAAGCGTTCATGATAATGACACGAAGTGTAAACTATGTGGTATGTTAAGGTCTCACACCCTTGCCCATTATGTTCTTGATTGTCCGTTGATTAATGTATATAGAAACACTGAGATAAGGACTGTTCCTGAGCAAATAGCCTGGATGTGTCACAAAGGAAAGGTTGATGATATTCTTGAGAGATATAAGAATTTTGCACCAAGACTGTAATATTTTGTTGAATTATCCGTATAACTAGGTCATAAAAGTATTTGTGTACGTCTGATACCATACCACTTGTGAAGGAGGAAATGTACATGTTTATCTCTCAGAATGTTTGGTAACAGGTTTATTGTTTGTGATGTGTGTCTATGTATGTACTAACACGTTGTACTGAACGGGGTGAGAATAGCTTGAGCTACCTCATCCCTTTGTGTGTATTTTACCTCAATAAACTTATTTCAATTTCAATTTCAATTTCTCGCAACATTGACATAATGTACCGTTTTCTGTTCGTGGGTCCTCTGGTTAGTTTGGTTAGGGCACTTCAGTACGACCGTTTCCTGACGTAGGTTTTCGCGAGCGCTCCCGTTGTGTTGGGGGGGGGTACTGTAAGTACAGTTAGGTAAGCAGGGGAATTTAATACATCCCTTGTTACCTGGCAGTCCCAGACCGCAACGTCACCTTTAATTTAATATGGAAATGTTACACTCACCACCACTCACTTCGCTGGGAATTTCCCCTTGTCCCATCTCCCGTCTGTCAATCAGTTACTAGCAGCGCTTGTCAGTTGCCAGCATCATCGTCTCTCCATCGCCGGCCTGTCAATCACCGGCATAAAAAGTTGTCAGTCTCAGGCAACACTTGTCTACGCAAGAGTTTCATTACCTGTCAGTCATCAGTACTACCACCTGTCACTTGTCATCTTCATCTGTTACTAATATGTAGTCAGTCACGAGGACCCCCAACACTTGACAGTCACCAGTTCCAGCAACTGTTAACAGTTAGCACCAACGTATTACTAATCATTACTATATTAAGGCACTCCAATCTCTCCATCGATGCAAAGGAACGGCATTGGCTATCATTTAATATTAGTAAATATATACCGAACGTACTAGAACATGAAGTACCCTGAACTGTGCCACACTAAATAGCCTATAATGAAGTTGAGAATCGCAGAAACAGTCCAGGAAGGCATTGAATACTTCTCCCCGACACATACGATTTTATCTGCTCACACCAGGTGAGCAAGGAGTGCTCACGTCGACGTCAATGCGACCTTCTCTTCATGTCGCAGTGACGTGAAGAGAACCAGGCAGCCTAACTCTCCCTCTTGTATCAACGTCATTGGACTAAGTGTGAATATCGTTCATATAGGTCATAATACGACATCGGAGGGTATGGAACTGTCAAAATAAGGAAGATACTATCTTTCCATAACACATCTTTAAAATGAGGATAAACTTAGGTTTCAATTTTGGGAACGTTAGATTAGGTACAATTAATTATGAGGCTATCGAGTTAAAGATTTCCAAATGTAAAAAAAAAATACGATTGTCGCATATATATATATATATATATATATATATATATATATATATATATATATATATATATATATATTTAGGGGTACCACCACTGGTTTAATTAAAGGGACCCACATCCTCGAAGAAGAAAATAAATAGTGTTCAGAGAAGACCTTGTGGATTCTCACTGAATACTTTAATCTTTTCCTCTCCTACCACCCCTATTATTTTTTTTTTATTTGATTTTATTGCAATGCTACAGTTTACAGAAAACACACACTTATATAACAATATACCAATCAGTGTTCGAAGACCTCGTCCAGCTCCTCGGGGGTCGGGTGCGTACCCAAGATACAGCACGCATTTCCCCTCTGAACAGCGACACTGAGGCGCTGGAACATAAAACTGGCCGCTCTTGGGTCTCTAGTCTTCCCAATGAGTTCCTCGCCTAGCTTCTTCAGGAACTTAAGTGCACATTTACCCCAGGCGCCCAGTCTCAGAAATGACTTCCAACATAGAAATACA